GGCAAAACGTGCACGTGCTATTGCCCCAAGTGCCAAGCTGGCACAACCTGCACAACTTGTGGCGGCACCAACGGCACCGACTGCTCGACGTGCCCGGCGTCGACGCAGCTTTCCTCGGGCAGTGCGATGCCGTTGGTTACTTTGGCTGCTCTTTTGACGGTCGTCGCCATGTTGCTGTAAAGGTTGTGCACAAATGCAAGCATTTGACATCAAGTCTGGTCTTTCTGGTCATTGCAATAGCAAGCGTTTGTGGCTGGGGGACAGAACGGAGCCAAAAAATGGGCTGCGGACGAGAGCGACCTCCAAAACGCGGGAATTCGCGTAGGAATCTCGACAAGTTGTCCACTTCAACGCTACCAGGACAGACGGTCGCACACAGCAACAGCGCAGACACGCATGACAACCTTGACCACACGTTCGCGGTCGACCGACACCGCGCAGCTACCGTACGATTGCAAGGCCTTCTGGGCTGCGCCGACACGCCCACTGACAGCTGTCTGCACGTGGTGGGACGTGGCGGCGTGGACGACGTCGCTGCAACGTCCACGCAGACCCTAGTCGACATTGGATCGCACGTCGAGCGTCGCTGGCCGTCCATGCCGCCAAGCTTTAGCGCCAGTTCGCACGACGGTGGCGAGGCGTGTGACATCTGGCGACAACCTTAGGTTTGCTTCGTCTGCCTTAGGTCACTCCCACGATGACTTGATGTTTGTATGGTGGCTGGGAAAGTGCAACGTCGCGTGCGATTACAGCACGCTTTTTGGCCAATCAGATCGCTGCGATCACGCGGGCGAGGTTACACCCAACACCCAGCTGGCCGCGCCGATGGGCCTTGATTCGTGGGCAAAATTTCACGCCTGCGAAGTCACCACGCGGTAGCGCTGGCGCCATGCTGCCATTTCCGCATTTGCTCGAGTCAAGATGAAGTTGGTCCTCGCCCTGGCGACGCTCCTCAGCGTAGCTTCGCTCTCGTCGGGCGCGATCGCGACCAAGGCGCCCGTGCCGACGCGCGACCGCTTCAACGGCGTGTGCTCCAACGACGAAGAGTGCGCCAAGTTCCCAGGCACTGTCTGCGTCTTTATCCTCTCGGGCGACTACACCCAGGGCAAGTGCACGCCCAACTACGGTACGCGCCCGGTGTGCCGTGGCGGCCAGGCCGGTCTCTGCCCGTCGTACCAGGACCCGTCGTCCGGGTACCTCAACACGCAGTGCGTGCTCGTTGACAAGGCGATGCAGCCGGCTACCGACACCGATGCGATTGTGCCTGTGAACAAGCCGACGACGGCGGCGGCGGAGCCGGATGCGACGCCGGCTGCCTCTGGCGCCAAGCCTTCGGCGACGCCTGGCAAGACGGCGGCGAGCCGTTTCCTCGCTGCGGACCCCACCACCGTTGTGGTCAGTGACCCGACGACAGCCCCCAAGAAGACGACCGCGGCGCCCGCCGCCGATGGCACGACGGCCCCGGCCGATGTACCGACGACGGGCCCGACGTCCCCAAAGAAGACCACGGCGGCGCCCATTGTTGACAGCACGGTCGCGTCTGGTTCGGGCTCGACGGCCGCCGATGGCACTGTCTCCCGCATCCCTGTGAAGGACCAGCCGTGCCCGTCGGACCCGACGCTCGTGCTCGCGGACCCCAAGTGCTGGTTCACGACGCCGTTCAAGAACACGACGCTCACGGTCCAGTACAAGTGCGTCGACTACGACATGTGTCTCTCGCAGTCGGCGTACGCACAGGAACCCCAGTTGACCAAGGAAGCCTACTGCCGCCCGGCAGGCTGCGTCACGGGCGCCAAGAGCCTCTGCAACAACCGCGGCACGTGCCAGGCCAACTCGGCCATCGACGTCGTGCTGCCGCGCGTCTACGCGTGCCGCTGCTACGCCGGGTACACGGGCACCAAGTGCGAAAAGTCGACCCCGTCTGGCGAGTGCGACGTTGACTGCGGCCAAGGCGGCGCCTGCGTCGACAACAAGTGCTCGTGCTTTGAAGGCTTCATTGGCAAGAACATTCGCTGCGACAAGTGCACGTCCGACAAGGCGTGCGAGAATGGCAACAAGTGCAACACGGACACGGGCAAGTGCGAATGCAAGAACGGCTTCAACGGCGAAACCTGCGGCGGCAAGCTCGACATCTGCGCCGGCGTCACGTGCTCGGGCGGCGGCTTCCCGGACGGCCGCTCGGGCAAGACGTGCACGTGCCTTTGCCCCAAGTGCGCCGCCGGCACCACGTGCAAGACGTGCGGCGGCACCGACGGCCGCGACTGCTCGACGTGCCCGGCGTCGGCGCGCCTCAACTCTGGCGCCTCGACCCTCTCGGTCGCGATCATGACGCTCATCATGGCGGTCCTCGCGGTGCTCTTTTAAGCCGGTGGAATATGGCCTTTCTCGACGTACCCACTACAGACTCCTTTCACTAACACGATAGCTCCCATTTATCTATAGCTCTAGGTTTATCCCAGGGTTTAACCATAGCTCTGGAAATGAAAGTGGAAGCATTTTGAGACCAAGCCGGTGCGCCACCGCATCTGGCTTTGGCGATCACATGGCATTCTCCTTCGAATCACCTCGTGGCTTCCAATGAGGCCAAAAGCGCCTCGCCGGACACCAGTCGTGCAACGGCCGAGCGTCCAGCTCGGAAGCCACCCAGCTGCAGCGACGACGGTGGTGAGGAGGCGCCGAGCGTGTGCAGTGTGGCGGCGCAGAAAGGGCGGAAGCTTCTATCCTTCCAATCGAAGTCGAACGAGAGGACATGGAATTTAGTGAGCCAGTCGGTGGCAGTCTGTATGCACCGCTCCAGCTGCCTCGTCGTTCCTAAACACAAGCGAATTTGCCATGAAGACGACACAGTGGATGATCGTCGGCCTCCTCAGCGTCGTGGCCGCTGCGCCCGCGCCCGCGCCGATTCCGACGCTCGACCGCTTCAACGGCGTCTGTTCGAGTGACGAAGACTGCGCCAAGTTTCCCGGCACCGTCTGCGTCCAGATCCTCTCGGGCGACTACTCGCAGGGCAAGTGCACGCCCAACTATGGCACGCGCCCGGTCTGCCGCGG